GTTCAGTGAAAATCAGAGAATTATTTGCAATCCTTTTAATATTCAACTTTGTTCCAAATTACAAAGAGATTTGGGATAATCATAAGGATAAACTATCAGCTGATTTTGAATATACCTATCGTCAAGGTCTTCCTGGCAGAGGTCTTGATTTGCAAGGTTATCCATTGGACTTAAGTGAACGGGATTACAAAATTATTTTAAATCAGACAATTGTGGATATTGCTCATAGGTTGTTGAAAAATCAAAAAGATATCGCAAATTTTCCAGAGTTACCTCAGCCCGATCCATCATCCTACAATGCGTATATGGCAAGAACTCAAAGCTTTTATGACCATGAAATTGGACAATATGATGCTGATGATTTGTTAGTCAACGTGGCTGTTTATGAAGGCGACGAGGGTGGAAGTTTAAACGCTGAGCAACGCGTCATATACGACGAGATTGTTTCGGCCATCTATGATAACCCTGATACAACCCCAGCCCCCTTTAGAAGTTCTTTTTTCTTCATTGATGGTCCAGGTGGTACAGGAAAAACGTTTTTATACAATGCCTTACTTGCAAAGGTACGATCAAATGGTGAAATTGCTCTTGCGTGTGCATCTTCCGGAATTGCTGCCACCCTGCTTCCTGGTGGTCGAACGGCACATTCACTTTTTCAAATTCCAATTGATATCGACGAATCTTCTGTATGTAACATCAAGTTACAAGACATTAGTGCTCAAGTAATTAGTGACTCTAAGTTGATTATTTGGGACGAAGCTCCGATGATGAACAAAATGACATTTGAATGTGTCAGTCGTCTCCTGCAAGAGATTACGGGAAACTTCCAGCTTCCTTTTGGTGGTAAGGTTGTTGTTCTTGGTGGTGATTTCAGACAGACACTCCCAATCATTAAGTTTGGTTCACGCTCGGACGTAATTGATGCATGTGTCATAAACTCTGTTCTTTTTAGAGACTGTCGAGTTTTGCGGCTCAAGCGGAATATGAGGCTCACTGGAGATTCGATTCTTGACAATGGTACCCCTTTCCAAGATTATCTTTTAGAAGTAGGTGAAGGTCGTTGTCAAGTTTATGATCAGTATGTATCCATACCAGCCTCAATTGTAACGTACGCAGAGTCGATCGAAGATGTTGTAAATGACGTTTTTGGTGACTCACTTTCAGCTGGAGACTGTTACAAGAACAGAGAATTCATTGTTAGTAAAGCTATTCTTGCGGCGCATAATTCTACAGTTGATGAAATCAATGAGTTGGCGACAGAAAAATTACCAGGTATATCCATGGTATATTTATCAGATGACTCGATTGAAGAGACACAAAATTCAAGCGCAACCAATTTCCCTGTCGAATCGTTGAATGCTGTAAAACCTTCAGGAATGCCACCTCATAAGTTGGTTCTTAAAAGATTCCAGCCAATCATGTGTTTAAGAAACATCAACCCTGCTGAAGGTCTTTGCAATGGTACAAGGTTAATCTGTAGAAACTTCACAAGAAATATAATAGAAGCTGAAATTGCTGTTGGTGATAGAGCAGGTCTGATTGTTTTGATTCCCAGAATCATATTAATATCTTCAGATAATGCTAACTTACCATTTACCCTCCGTCGACGTCAATTTCCTGTGCAACCTGCATTTGGAATGACTATCAACAAATCGCAAGGCCAAACTCTTTCTTTCGCTGCAATCTGCCTTATTAAACCCGTTTTCACGCACGGTCAACTTTATGTTGCTTTATCTCGGGTTCGTGACCCTGCTAACCTCAAGATAATCTTACTGAAAGAGCCGCCATTATCAACACTCACAGACAACGTTGTATTTAACGAAGTTTTAACTCGAACACAAAATTAAACATAAAATAATCATTATCAATAAAATCTATTTTTATCCCATTTATAAGCATTGAGTGGCGTCGGTGGCCCGCTGCAGGCGCGAGATCGCCCCCAGCAGGAACGTAGGTTATTTTTACCGTAGCGAAGCGAAGGTCAAAAAATTACCGAAGTGGGCTGGGGCCGCGATCTCGTAACAATAAAGATAATAGAAACTTCAACTATAGCTTTGTTTGAAATCGTTTCTGATGAGTTGACAATTGCATATGCGGCTACGCCAAATGAGGACCATAAATAGACATACTGGTCAGCTACCGGGTCACCAAGAATCTCCTCGTTTGTATTTTTTAGAATATCATATATTTCCAAAGAAACCCATGCGTCTAACGCAGCGTAGCGAATTTGGCCTGGAGTGAGCTCATGAGCGTATGACCAATCTGTTGTGATCGAGCTTATATACAGATATAACTCTATCATCAATTCTTTCTTTCTTATATGATAACCTTTCTATAAATCATTATTGCATTACTCTTTAAATCAAATACATGCTATTACACTCTATTTACTACGCATTGATTACTCATCAACATATAGAAAACAATAGTCAGACATTTATTCCAGATAATACAATCCAATGATATGATCGCTCGTCAATAACAAGATTCTCGAAGGTACCATGAGATGCTCGATCTTTAATTGACAATACGCCTATTGTATATTTGACAGGTTTCACTTTAATGATTGATATTCAGCCAGCCCTGAATATGTATATAAAGAGCCCAATTTATTGTATATGTGGTATTTTACAAAAATATTACAACGAAAAAGTAATGAGAAAAAAGTATATCTTTATTCGAGGTAAAAATAGACTCCAAGAGCTCTGCTGCGATGAAATAATTGATCCTTTTTATATTGATCAACTTCCCCTGGTAGTTGTGTTAAGTCAACCTTTCTGGTCTTGTAATAAATCTATACTCAGTTTCCTACCTTACATTAAATGAATTCTACTCGTTAGAATTGATTTCAAATAACGTCGCCCTGAATCAACCGATCTGGGACACTCTTATGGTTCTGTTTAAAATACAGAATTATAGTAAGATATTGTGTAACGGTGGCTATTTAAAAGATGCATAAGGTTCTTGTGTTTAATTGGCTGTGGTAGAACATGTAGTTATGTCTGATCATTTATCCATTCTGTTGATTATTTTTATCTAAGACGTGGGTAAATATGTGATCCTAAATATAGAACAGCTTATCGATGTTTGTATATTTAGTTGTAGAAAATAGGCATCCAAATATTCCATGCACTACTTCTTTTATACACTTACAGTCGTATAAGTTGTGTTTATCAATATATAAGTAAATGAACCATTTATATAAATAGCTGTTCTATTCTCTCTCTGGGTAGCTAATCCATTGAGAGAACTATTAATACTAAGTTTCTCTTTCTTATATTTCTTGATTTGATCGGAGAAGCGTCTCTTCTCGATCGGTGATATCGTAACTCAGTGGTATAGCATGTGCTAAATCCAACATATAGATTGTACATATAATAAATTCATATCTCATCATCACTGATAAATGATAGCTAAATCACGATCAGGCATAAAAAAGGAATTCGCTAAAGCCGGTCACTATTTTAAAGTGTCACGGTATCTTAACACCAATGTCCAAACTTAAGACATGTTATTGTTATTATTTCTCTATTGACTATGCGTAGCACTAATTGTCCAATATAAATATTGTTATTGATAGCATACTCATATTGTTAAGAGTAGTATCCTCAGCCTCGTCCATTCCATTTATTATAAATACTCTTTATTTTTCCTCTTCTTAAATCTTTAGTTAACTTTAACATCAATAAACTATGACAAGAATTCTAATTGATCCTATTGTTTTTTTCTGCAAAACTATCCTCTTTAAGCCTACTTTTGCTACATAGCATTCTGTATCCAACTGTAATTCGTATATCATATTTAGGCCAATCGTACAATCTTTAATATAGAAGTATCTACTCGAAGTAGGAGAAGTTGTATAGCAGTATACAAGCGTATGCTGATATTCAACATCAAAGGTTGTTTTAATTTCATAGTTTATTTATTTAAACGATTTGCTTAATTATTCTTAAGTGAATCGTAACCAAATACGACAAGCATACTCTTATTGTTAAGAGCAGTATTCTCAGCCTCGTTCATTTCACTTATTATAGATACTGTTTATTTATACTCCTCTTAAATTTTTAGTTAACTTTAACATCAATAAACTCTGACAACAATTCTAATTCATCCTGTTGTTTTTTTATAGCTTTTTTCTGCAAAACTATCCATATTTAAACCTACTTTTGCTACATAACATACTGGATCAAATCGATCGCTCCCTAACCAACCATTTCAAAAAATGTATCCCTACTCCACATTATACATACTCAATTCAAAAATTATCGCCAGTCAGGTCGTTCTTATGTCAGTAAACTTAAAGCTTTTTTTGAAATCTAAACTAGGAGCCAAACATTACTAGAATCGCTAATCCCTCAACTTTCTCAATGTAATAGATAATTGGCCGATTTGTTTTTTTAAAAAAACCATTTAGATCTTTCTATTCACTTTCCTTTATTCTCTTCTTACCTATATCCCCTTTTTCCTTTGTGTTCCGTTCTGTAATGGTTTACTTATTTTCCGCCGGAAAATATGTTGAACGGCACTTTTTGTCCTTTTTGGTTTACTTTTTTTTTGGCTGCCTTTTGAAAGTTTTCTATAAAACGTTTCCAAAAAATTTATAACACAACAATTAGTTTGTCATTTACTTAAATCTGAAAAATTCTTAATATTTTAAGTCTTTAAAATTTTGTATTTATTCTGTAAATCAGGATTTTAGCCATTCCATTTTGTATTTGACTATACTCCTTGAAATACCATTCTTATTTCATTTTGTTGTATAAATTAACCCCTATATAAATATATTTTATCTTTTCTTCAGCTGACAACTACACAATCTGGTACTCAGTTTTAAAGAACTTTTATCTTTATTTTATTCTATTAATTTTACAAAAAATTGCCATTAACAAAAGCAATATACATGTGTATGCTGGTACGCAACATTGAAGATTGTTAATAGTTCATAATTTAGTTATTTAAACAACTTTCGTATTTATTCTTAAGTGAATCGTACACAAATACGACGTAATTATTTCATGATACAAAGTATGTAGTTAGGATATCAGAAGATGGTTTTAATTCAGATAAGAATTATTTTATCTTCTGTCTAATTATTTATTATCAGCGATACAAAAAATCGTTTCGACACAGAAAAAAAATTTCTGTTTGTTTTGCCTGGAGGTGGGAAAATAAAACAGAATATGCTGTCCATAGAAACGTTTTCGACAGAAGCTTATATAATATCTGAGGGGATAAAAAATATGAGTATGATTAAAGTTCACCTGCATAGTATATTTTCTAATGTTCCATAACCATGATTTGTTTTTATTTCCCTATCATACTTCCGATATATCCAAATGCTTTACTGGATAAAATCAATCCGCGCTTTCCTAATTTAACCGGCGGGTAGTTTTTTATGCTGTAAAAACAACTACAATTTTTGATTGCTTTGATTACTTTCTCACGAAATACAATTTTTACTAATCCTTATTATGTCCGATCTTGTACCCGTAAACGATCCCAAGTATATTCATGATGTTGTTATTACCGAGTCCTCATTTAAAGATCAGAGCATGGAAATGATTAAGATGCAAGAAACAATTCTGGAGTGCGAGATGAACTCTCCTGAAACTTCCAAGAAAGCTTACAACCCTAAAGTCAAAGAGTTCCAAGTATGGTGTAAGGATGCCTATAGACATATCTTTATTAAAGAAGATTTTACAGTCACAGGTCCCGAGTTTTATTTGTTCCTCAAAACTATGGTTTGTCAATTGTTTCTAATTTATACAAAAAAAAAAATTAGAACGTTTAAAATTTTAGGTTAGAAACCGTCCAAGCATATCGTATTTCCTCCAATAAAGATCGTATAGAATGACTTTCAATATGTGTGGTGATCTGCTATATTGTTGCTACATTAAATAAACCTATATCTATGACATCAATACATTAAGAATGATTAAGGAATCAATTACCCAATATAGATAGTTAGTACTATCATATCACAAGGTTACAAGAACACAGTGACAAAGGCTTACTAAAGATATGGAAGTACAATGTGTCTAAGATGACAGTAATTCCAAGTGTAACATATTTACAAAATAAGCAGTTAAAGGTAACAGGATACACACTGGGAAAATGATAACAACTTCAAAGATACACTAAAGATAGTGGTACAGCAGATAGTCTTTTTTATATAAATACTTGTTCATTTTATTTCATAATAAAGACAATCTTATAAACAGTCTCAAATTACTTATATACTGCCTTATAATTTTACTTACCTCAAAACACAACAATATGGTTAAATTATAATATTCGAGTGATACTCTCATATTACCAGTATAATCTTGTTACAGATTATATATTGGAAATATATTATTATTGTTTATTATGACTCTCCTTAATCTGTTATTGAAGTATCAGCATATGAGAATTTTTGACTGGATAATTCGGACCAATCAATATGATAAAATATTGATTGACTTGAGAACATATAATTCTAATTGTCATGTTTGAGAAGATAGAGACAGGCCACTAATTATTCTTTACCAGATATTTTGATATAAAAAACATCCTCCCTTTTGCGATGACCTTCTCTCCATAACTTTAATAAGAGATTAACAGAGACTCAATTTTTTAATTCTTTTTTTTCTGTTTTTTATCTAATTCTATTATCTCAGAACATCACAAAGAAGACGCAGAAGTCAAGAGGACAAAGTAATTCAAATGGCAACTATTTACCAATATATTGCTACTATCACCTTGTTAGGACGGAACAGGAACAAGACACATAAACTACTTGGCAACACGAGGGGGGCGATTGGTTAAAATAAGATATGTTTATTTATTAAGAGGGGGAGGAGTTAGGACTAAGATCCAGAATAACGGTTTTCTAATAAATAACTAACATCTATCGATACTATTTCTTATACATGGGAAAAACTACGATGAGTTTAAATTATAGATTAACAAGAGACTTTACGGAACAAATATAATGAGTAATTGAGATGTGACGAGTAGTAACTGGCTGGATTTAGTTGACATTGAATAATATGATGGTTTGACACGTGCGGGATAAATCGATTAGGAATAAAAGTAAAACATGATCGGGAAAAGGTTTACTAAAGTTGAGTCAGACAGGAAGCGGGAGTAATATTGAGAGGCAGATTAAAGATATGTTTTACAAGGAGTTCGGTGGCGGGCAAGATATACTGATATGATTTTTGGTACAAGATTTTACAGGGAGTTTGTTAGCGGACAAGAGATACTGGTTTTAATTTCTAGAACAAGGTTTCAAAAGGGGTTTGGGATCATGGTTAAGTTATGCAGACAATAAACAGGGCGAGTAAGTTCATGACACACCTACTACTATCAAACTCAAGTACACCAGAAAAAAAAAGGCCATCCTGATCCAAGATCAGCTCGTAATGCTATTCGTAAGATGTGTAGATTGAGGGAAGAAAATGCTGGCAGAGGTAGCTGTAAAAATTGTTAATCAAATACCTTGGTCGATGGTTAAACTATCGTTGATGCAACTGACAGCCTTTCATACTATTACATTGGTTAAATACGTTCCATAATCTTCGTAACCGTACTGCATTTATTTTGTCACATTTCTGTCTTTTTCGTGGTGAGTCAGCCAGAGGTGCCAAGCTTCATGATTTCTAAGTTGCCAATTTAGAAGAAGAAGGCCCTACGTGCTTCTGTCCTGCGTTGGTTCTGGTGATGAGAAATGACAAGACCAACAATTCTGGTTGATTAGATATTGGTGCATGTATTAGAAATGTAGATATTTGAAATTGTCCATTCATGGCAACTGCTATGTATTTTTTTTCAATGTTTCATGTGGATTGTAAGCTATTTCCAGATTTCCCAGATCCGAAAACTGGTATTTCACCAAGTTTTTGCAAGCGAGTGCTGAATGCACGAAGCAATGGTCCTACTCCACCCACCACAAAGCAATGGAAAAGGCCCTCAAGGCTTGTAACATTGCTTCATCTAAAATTACCCATATGGCTCGTGGTGCAGGTGCTCGTATGTGCGATATTGGTGGTGTTGATCATTTATGATCAAGCAACTTGGTAGATGGAATGCTGACTGTATGAGCGTAGAAATCGGTGTAGATTTATAAATAAAAACAAGAAAATTATCAAACCTGCAAAAATTAACTAAGGGTTTATTAAACAAATAAAAGGGGGTCTTTATATACACATTATTTCAGACATTGATCACAGATGGGCTGATGACGGTAGTGGGTAGATTTATCCAGATAATACTCGGATGTAATGATCCCATATAGAAAGGCCATAATAAGATGTCAATAACAAAAACAATAACATTCATTCTTAAACTGTGTATATCTTGTAGCACAATATTCAGGGGAAAATGTAGTTCTTAATCCAGATAGCTGTGGTACCTCAATGTGGCTGATGTAACCTTCATATGTTTCATATTATTGTTATTATTTAAATGTATGTCTTATACTTGTATGAAGGATGATATGAGATCAAGCCTTGTACATAAAGTAAATGATCAGTATCAATAAGAATTATATTTAGGATTATCAAATGGAAGATTTAAGAAGTGTAGATAGAGTCATATATTAAGTATATAGCCTCGATCACGACAATGAGTAGATCGTATGTTACTGGCCTCCCACGACAAGGTATGCGTTTTTTAGGCGGTTATGGCACAGAAAAGGGCATATTCTACTTGGGAAGAAGTGCTCTTGAACCTCCAATCGATCTCCAATCTAAGACTTTTCCTGAAGCTGATGAATGGATGGATAAATTGAATTCTGCTGTCATTACGGACAACGTTGCCGCTCTTGGTTTCTTGCAACTTTTGAAGACCACGAGAATCGCTTTTCTGCAAGAAGCTTCGCGGATGAATTATGATTTTTCTCGTAGCCGTATAACTGACTATTACTTATTCCATTATCCTTTACTTTTTACAGTCTAAAAAATATGTCATTTTTTTCTATGTGTTAATGAAATTACCAATTAAATTTTTTTTCCATTTTCGTGTTTATTACTAGCTGGCATTTCGCGCGCTTCGCAAACAAAGCCAGCGTCTGATACGCATTCAAAGATAATACATATAGCTTTTTATTTGATTTATATATAATATTGGGATTAAAGATGATCATTATGGATAAAATATAAAATTTAAAGGGAGTCAGGTGCGGATAAGTAATTCAGGATATTGTTAACAACATATTCAGTAGTGTTTTGTTTATTATACCCAAATCCCATTCATAAACGTACCATAGTTAACATCATTCTACACATTTCATGTCAGTTCCAAATTTTACTACCTAAACCAATATGTCTATTCACTCAATGCTTATACAAAGTTTCATTTTCGTGGGGGGATGGGTAAGCTCTTCCGCTCTGTAACAAAATTATATCTAATAAATATTTTTTATACGCAATTAAAATCAACTTTTGTAAACTAAATGACAATCTACCGGTCATTGTTCCTGAGTGACTGGCAAGCCCCTGAACCCTCGTAAATAATATTTTTCAGCGGGGTCTTAATTTTGTGTTGCAAAAATGTACGAATTATTAACACCACGGGAAAATCCAAGTGTTTATAGGTGTGATTCGAGTGATCATTTTAACACTTATTTAAACACCTAAAGAAAGTGTTTTGCGCCAATTTTTTGAGTGATTTCCCCCGCTTAAACAATGGTTAAAATCACTTCAATATCACTTTAATATAACTTAAAGCCACCTATTTTAGGGTGTTCTCAAGCAAATTATTTAAAATTTTAAAATCCTGATTTTAATTAAAAATATTTGACCCCACCACTATGGAGGGGTCAAATTTTAAAAAATGTTTTCTGACATTAAAATATCATTTTAACTCGAAAAAGTACTAAAATCACATCACTCATTTTGTGTGGGAATTCTTTTCTTTCATTACGATTCCATTCTGGCTGCTCTCAGGCTGACCATCAATAGGGTAAGAAGCATTATTTTTGTTCATTTTTAAAATAGGTAGAGGCAAATGTAAAGTATTTTTATTTTGATAAGAATACAAGAAAGAAATAAAATAACATTGGCCTCTGTGCCATGTACAAATGACAGTTTATCATTTTCCCAAATTGGAGTTGTGTTTTTTTGTGACTTTTGATTTTAATTAAAGGATTTATTTTAAAATTTTAAATAATTTGCTTGAGAACACCCTTACACACCCTAATATCACTTTAATACAACTCATTGTCACCTATACAGCGCACACCTTAATATCACCTTAGATCCACCTTAATATCACCTTAGATCCACCTTAATATCACCTTAGATCCACCTTAAAATCACTTTAGATTCACCTTAAAATCACTTTAGATCCACTTTAATATCACTTTAGATCCACTTTAATATCACTTTAGATCCACCTTTATATCACTTTAGATCTACCTTTATATCACTTTAGATTTCACTTTAAAACTACCTAAAGATCACTTTAGAATGAACACTTTTACAGTTATAAAAAACATTATTTGGAACTTGTGGGAAAGTGCTGCTGTCGATACAGCTATGTAACAGCAAGAATCGTTCACTATCATTAGAAAATATGACATGTTAATAATACTATCAAAATGGGTATATAGTAAGCCTTACATTACATTATTGGTTAGAAGCCGAGTGCCGTCTCTTACGGTTTTTGTTCATTTTTGAGGGAGCCTTGTTTGACCAGCAGCTCTGTAACATGAAGTAAATGGCCCAGTTATCTTTACAACAATTGACAATGTCTACAATGTTTAAAAGATGAGCTTCCCTGGAGGCTCTTGATATTAACTCCTTCTTGATAACACCAGATAACGTTTTCCAAGGTACATATTCATCCATGCTTGACCTCAGGACAGAATTGCAAATGGAGTTAATATCCTTGCTTAGCAGACGATACATACCTTCTGCTGTTTCGGGCTGGCCAAAAGAATTCAACAGAAAAATTCCGCTATCGTTATTCTTTAGTATGTTAATGATATCAATAGCATGAACAGTTTCTGGCTTTTTGATCAAGTCAATCTCTTCATAATCGACTTGCATTTGATCTTGACCGCTATTTGGAAAAACGTTTTGGGGACTTGTAGTAGCTATTTTACCCAAAATAGTTTCTAATCGATCCAATCTTTCATTAAGACTTTTTATAGCTGAATTTTGCTCTGCGGTGATAGTTCCTTCCAACTTCTCTATTCTTTCAAGCACAATATTTACCCATGTAGGTTGTCTAGACATATTGATGGAAATTTTTAGTTGGTATTTTATTTAAAGTAGAAGAAAGAAAAAAAAACCCTCACGTCTATTTTGGAATTTCATTGTTATTGTTATTGTTATTCTTTTGGATGGCTTATGTTTGCTCTATTTAGAAAAATATGTTACGTGAAATCATGATTTATGATGGGAAACCCTATTTTAAATCACGAGTGCCGCAATATTTGGAATCCCTCTTCTTTCACTTTTAATTATCTATTAACGAAAAATATGCGTTGCGATACTTGCCCAAACAGACCATACGTTCGTACTCGCGATATAGAATCTCATAAAAGAAAGCACAAAAATATGGATTTGGAAATCAAAATGAAGGTTAATATCATTAGACGACGACTAAATATAACAAATGACAGCACTGCTGAGTCATGCGTCAATGGTTTGCCCGTAGAAGAACCTGCCAATATTCCTGATCTTGAATATGGTATGACTGACGATGACAATTTTGATCCCGTTCCCGCATTTGGTATTGCTTATATGGATATCAACGCTGCAACTGAATTTGAAAATTTATATGAAAGTGATAGTGGAAGCAACTCCGATATCATTCTCGAACGTAGTACTATTTTAGATCCAGAATACAGTAGATACATGACTGATAGTGAAAGTGATATTGAAAGTGATGCTGATATTCAAGACTCAAATTATGCCAAGAATCAGTTAATAAAGTACTCTGAAATGGCAGTCAAAGGTGATCCCGAGGAGCTATCTGCAATTCGTGATTGCAATTTGGAAACATTGGATGATAAAAAAAGTTTTGAATTTCACGCATTGATGGAAAAGTGGAATCTGAAAAGATTTCGGAAAGAAGAGATCATCAGATGGATCAATGAAAACTACAATAATACTCATCCTAACCAGAGTAAGCCTTTTTATGCGTATTCACTACATCATTACATGATAACTAATTCTTCTGTAAATTAGACGTGGCAGAAAAATTAAAGTCCACTTATTTAAATAAAAAACAAATCAGTGAAACCGTACAGCTGAAAGAAGAAGTTTACGACATGTGTGTGAATGGGTGCCAAATGTTCATCGCCGAGGATCAAGAAATGTGTTCTCACTGTGAGGAACCCAGGTTTCAACTAAACGACAACGGCGTGTTAGAAGCTCGTCAAAAACAAAAGCTTCTGGACATTTCCGATTTCATTGCTTCATATTTTGTCTCTGATAAAAGCATGAGATTATTGTTGCAAAGATCAGAGAAGGTCCAAACAAGCGACGATATTGTAATAGAAGACTTTTTTGACGGCAAAAAGTACCAAGAGCTTTTAAGAAAAAATTGCTTCCAAAACCAGTATGACATCGCCCTGGCGTTGTATATAGATGGATTTGTTCGTGGCCAAAGACGAAAACAGAGTCTCACCATTGTCAAAGCTGTGGACATGAACTTAAGTCTCGATTAAAGGTATTTTAAAGATTAAAATAATGCCATCAAAAATACTAATTGTCATTGTCTATTACAGAGCAAAAAAAGAAAATCATTTTGTTGTCTGCATCATCAAAGGACCCAAAACACCAAAAGATATCTATAGCTTCTTATATCCTTTATTAATGAAGTTAATTAAAATGGAGTCTGCTGGTGTGATTGTCAAGGCTCACGACAACCAAAACCATCACATCAAGGGGTATACTCGTCTGTTTCTCGGCGATATTCCTGCCATGGCAGATACTTTGTTTCACACTGGTCATACAAGCAAATATGGTTGTAGAATATGTGATATTATGGGCAGTAGTAATGATGGTAAAGGGATGTACTTTAGTCATAAAAATTCGGACAATGCAGTAATTTGAGGCAATAAAAGTTTTAAATCAGTAGACGAGCGGGTATCTGGGGTAAATGCGACGACAATACTAGTATTCGGCCACTATGAATAATATTTAATTTTATTTGATAACATCAGTTTGAAAACAAAGGGCTCACGAAGGTTACTTCTCTGACCGGATTTACCTCGTTTGCGGCAATATTCGATGGCCTTGATGAGCTTCATTTGATTGGGCATAACGTATCTAAGCAAATTTGGAAACTTATTTCTGATGACGATAGAAAATATGGTAACAATAACCGATTTCTTTTGGCAAAATGTCATAGAAAAACGCTTGGAGTGGCCATGGAAAGTTTAGGCACAACTTGCAGAACGAACATTTTTGAAGGGGCATTTTTGTGGAAATCGGTGTAGATTTATAAAATAAAAACAAGAAAATTATCAAACTTGCCAAAATTAACTAAGGCTTTATTAAACAAATAAAAGGGGGTCTTTATATACACATTATTTCAGACATTGATCACAGATGGGCTGATGACGGTCGTGGGTAGATTCATCCAGATAATACTCGGATGTAATGATCCCATATAGAAAGGCCATAATGAGATGTCGATAACAATAACAATAACATTCATTCTTAAACTGTGTATATCTTGTAGCACAATATTCAGGGGAAAATGTAGTTCTTAATTCAGATAGCTGTGGCACCTCAATGGGGCTGATGTAACCTTCATATGTGTTCATATCAATGTTATTATTTAAATGTATGTCTTATACTTGTATGAAGGATGATATGAGATCAAGCCTGTACATAAAGTAAATGATCAGTATTTAATATAACAGTATCAATAAGAATTATATTTAGGATTATGAAATGGAAGATTTAAGAAGTGTAGATAGAGTCATATATTAAGTATAT